AGAGAAGTTGGGTTAGGGTTAATATTAAAGTTCATATCAAGATGAAGTAGAATAAGCAATTTTCATTTCTATTTGTACTGCCAAGAGAAAAATATAATTGAAAGCCCGATGATAGGTTTTCCCTTGGCAACACTTATTTAAACATATAACTTATATACTAATAAGAGACTTATACCAATAGAAAAGCCTGGTCTTGTCTATATTGTAGATCCTTTCAGGAGAGTAACTTGCGTATTTATTTTTTTATTGACAGCATGACGTTGTTAATTGCCACCATGTCAGTAGATGCAGCTTCTCCTTAAAGCTATCATAGACAAATACTATTTCGATTCTTGAATTTATAAAGCCAGCCAGGAGAAAAATTTAGTGTCTCTTGAGTGATTCCCAAATCATCAGCAAGTACCTTCGCTTTTTCGACAAGTAAAGCATCAGTTAAAACTGTTTGATGCTAATAAATCAGCATGAACTCTTTAAGAGCGAGATCAAGTTCTGGATAGGTAATAGCTCTGTGATGCTTTGTTTTAGAATTACTAATTCTATTGTCAAATTATTTCTCAGATGTCTTTAATATACGTGAAATTGTGTTTTCATTGACTCTAAGACCCTACTTGTTTTCAATCCAATCAACATATTGTGATCAATTTTTTTTATTAACATGAGCGAAGGCACAAAGTTCACTTTTTTGTTCTTTAGTAAGGGTTGTTCTCTTGGGCATTTTTTGAATAAAAAAAAAGTTGATTAAGCATAGGATAAGTTATTTAAAGTTTTTTAATTTTAATTTATAAATTTCAGGAATGACAACTTCTAATTTTTTTATTTTTTTTTTTTGTTTTTTGGTTTTAACAGGTGTTGTTTTTACAAATAAGGCACAGGTGTTTTAGTTAGTTTGATACAATATTAATTTGATCCATGGACAAGAAAAATTTAAATCAATTAAATCAGTTAAGTTCCAAGAAGGACATTGGATTTATTAGGCTATACTTCATAATTATAGAATTTTTAGAGACAAATACAAACTTTTTTATTTTGTAATAGTTGTTATAAGGTGTTAATAATAAACAAGGTTCTCATTTTACGAGATATTTGTAAACAATAAGATGCAGATATGTTTTTTGAAACTTGACACGAGGCTTTAATTCAAGTCTCAAACCCAGAACTGAACTAGAATTGAAATAGAACAGGATATGATTTTGTTTTTAAAATTTTGTATTAATGTAATCGATACCTATAATGATAAGTAATGGTATGAATTAGATGAGTTAGTGAAAGGTAATTTTAATATTTTGAATCAATACTTGTAAGTAGCATGTTAATTTGCCAAATTTGATATAAAATGAATTTCACTTACTGACAAACAGATTAAAAAAGTAAGTTCTTGAAGTTTCTGGTTTGTGAATGGTATCTATACTTGAATTTTTTTTTTATTTAAATAAATTTATACGGCTGTTGTTCAAAGTAGTAAACAGTGTGATGGGTAAGAAAATTAGTGTTATATTTGAAAGCGCTTTATATTATAGTGCAGTAAATAAAAATTAAATGTAACTCTGCATTATTTTGTGCGTGCTCTTGTCTTCTAAAGATGGAATATTGAAATATTACCAGATTAGTAAATGATTCTTTATTATGTATAAAAAAAAATTCTTACGGTTAATTCTCATTAAGCTATGATTAAATATTTAAGTTGTTGGTTATGTGTTTGACTTCGCTTTCGTTGATTACTTACCCAAATAGTTGCAAAATAACACACAGGGTGTAATTTCTAATTTCGGCCTAAATTAAGCTTAATTCAGGCTAAAACTCAAAATAATGCTTCTGTATGTTATTTCACAACTATAATTCTATAAGTGCACACCTTCTCTAAGTGCACACCCATGCCTGGTCCCCAGGGCATGCACTTAGGGGGTGTGACTATATATTTATTATATATATTATTAAATCAGCCAATTAGAATTGTCTTATGTAGGGGGTATCCTCATAGTAAATGGATATTACGTAATATTTGTCATAGCTCTTATAAGATAGAGCAGGTTTGTATAGCAGAACCAGTAACATGATAAAAAAATTTAGCTATATTTTTTTTTTTTTGTTAATATATAACAATGAAAGAATATAGTATATTTATAAATAAAAACAAACAAAATTATATTGAAAAGTGGCATATCTTTAAAGAGTGGAAGCGTAGGTGTAGGGTTTGTGACAAATGCAATCACCATTCACACCTATATTGCAAAACATGCAAAAAAGTAGCAAATTGAATATATAAGCAATGTGAATGTGTTAATTAAATAAAAATAAATCTGAATTAACAATAATTTGTCCATATAACAAAGATATTTAACATGTTAGTGCTATATAAAATAAAACTTCTCATATGTGTGATTATAATTTTACAAGGCTTATTGTTATTATTAACGATATTATAATTTAGCTTGTCCTATTTGCCATATATAATTATGTGATATGAATATTTGCGAATAGATTGTAACAGTATTTTGCTATATATAGATTAGATTGTAACAACTTTTTACTGTATGTGGATTAGATTTAATTTGGATCTACACTTAGAACTTCCTTGCAATTCTGAGAAAAGAAATTTTATTTCTAAGAAAGAGAATTTTCATCCATTATTTTTGTAAAACAAGTTCAAGAGCAAGAACAATAGCAATTGCAATTGTGATTGATATTGAATTTGCTATTGATATTTTATATAGTAATTTTTGACAACACTGATACAATAATAAACTGTTGTTAAAAAAGCTTCAAATAGCTATTTCTTTCATGTTTCGCTAAAAATAATTAACCCAACTCTGAGTTTTAATCAAATTTTTTTTTTATCAGAAATTTTACAGAACAGATGAATTGATAATCACTGATCGCCAAAGTTCATAACAAAAGACCATAGTGAAAAAATTTGACAACTAACTCAAATGTATAGAATAATGGTGTGACTTAGCCTGTTTAAAAACATGGTTTCTTTCTAAGTATTTATAATGAAAAAACTGCTAATTTGAAT